CCGTGCAATCACAACATGTCGGGCTCTGTGAGACCGTGCAATCACAACATGTCGGGCTGTGTGAGACCGTGCAATCACAACATGTCGGGCTGTGTGAGACCGTGCAATCACAACATGTCGGGCTGTGTGAGACCGTGCAATTACAACATGTCGGGCTGTGTGAGACCGTGCAATCACAACATGTCAGGCGGTGTGAGACCGTGCAATCACAACATGTCAGGCGGTGTGAGACCGTGCAATCACAACATGTCGGGCTGTGTGAGACCGTGCAATCACAACATGTCAGGCGGTGTGAGACCGTGCAATCACAACATATCAGGCTCTGTGAGACCGTGCAATCACAACATATCAGGCTCTGTGAGACCGTGCAATCACAACATGTCAGGCGGTGTGAGACCGTGCAATCACAACATATCAGGCTCTGTGAGACCGTGCAATCACAACATGTCGGACTGTATGAGACCGTGCAATCACAGCATGTCGGGCTGTGTGAGACCGTGCAATCACAGCATGTCGGACTGTGTGAGACCGTGCAATCACAACATGTTGGGCTGTGCGAGAGCGTGCAATCACAACATGTCGGGCTGTATGAGACCGTGCAATCACAACATGTCGGGCTGTGTGAGACCGTGCAATCACAACATGTCGGGCTGTGTGAGACCGTGCAATCACAACATGTTGTGCTGTGTGGGACCCTGCAATCACAACATGTCGGGCTGTGTGAGATCGTGCAATCACAACATGTCGGGCTGTGAGAGATCGTGCAATCACAACATGTCGGGTTATGTGAAACCGTGCAATCACAACATGTTGGGCTGTGTGAGACCGTGCAATCACAACATGTCGGGTTGTGTGAGACCGTGCAATCACAACATGTCGGGTTGTGTGAGACCTTGCAATCACATGTCGGGCTGTGTGAGGCGGTGCAATCACAACATGTCGGGTTGTGCTGTTCTCAAGCCACAGAAAATTTGCCTTTCCAACATCAACCTTCATTCAAGAGGATAGATAAAGTGGACAACCCAAGAAGAGGGATAAACTGGAGAACGTGATTAGGGGAATAAACTGGAGAATTCGGCGACATCTGGCAAACGTTTTTTGGTACAGACAAATGGAAGGCACCGGACAAACGGAAGACACCGGACAAATGAAAGACACAGGACAAATAGAAGACAGCGGACAACTGGAAGACACAGGACAATTGGAAGACAGCGGACAAACGGAAGACTCAGGACAAATGGAAGACAGCGGACAAACGGAAGACTCAGGACAAATGGAAGACAGCGGACATACGGAAGATACCGGACAAATAGAGGACATTGGACATAAGGAAGATACCGGACAAACAGAGGGCAGCGGACATACGGAAGATACCGGACAAATAGAGGACAGCGGACATACGGAAGATACCGGACAAATAGAAGACAGCGGACAAGTTGAAGACACAGGACACATGGAAGGCACCAGACAAACGAAAGACACCGGTTAAATGGAAGTCACCGGACAAATGGAAGACATCGGACATACGGAAGATACCAGACAAATAGAGAACAACGGACAACCGAAAGACAGCGGACAAATATCAGGGTAACTTGATCTCACGGGATATTAGTCTATTGGAAGACAGACCTGACTTGAGAAAACAGACCTGACGTGAGAAGACAGACTTGACTTGAGAAGACAGACCTGACTAGAGAAGACAGACTTGACTTGAGAAGACAGACCTGACTTGAGAAGACAGACCTGACTTGAGAAGACAGACTTGACTTGAGAAGACAGACCTGACTAGAGAAGACAGACTTGACTTGAGAAGACAGACCTGACTAGAGAAGACAGACTTGACTTGAGAAGACGGACCTGACTTGAGAAGACAGACCTGACTTGAGAAGACAGACTTGACTTGAGAAGACAGACCTGACTAGAGAAGACAGACTTGACTTGAGAAGACAGACCTGACTTGAGAAGACAGACCTGACTTGAGAAGACAGACTTGACTTGAGAAGACAGACCTGACTAGAGAAGACAGACTTGACTTGAGAAGACAGACCTGACTAGAGAAGACAGACTTGACTTGAGAAGACAGACCTGACTTGAGAAGACAGACCTGACTTGAGAAGACAGACCTGACTTGAGAAGACAGACCTGACTTGAGAAGACAGACCTGACTTGAGAAGACAGACCTGACTTGAGAAGACAGATTTGACTTGAGAAGACAGACCTGACTTGAGAAGACAGACCTGACTTGAGAAGACAGACCTGACTTGAGAAGACAGACTTGACTTGAGAAGACAGACCCGACTTGAGAAGACAGACCTGACTTGAGAAGACAGACTTGACTTGAGAAGACAGACTTGACTTGAGAAGACAGACCCGACTTGAGAAGACAGACCCGACTTGAGAAGACAGACCTGACTTGAGAAGACAGACCTGACTTGAGAAGACTGACCCGACTTGAGAAGACAGACCTGACTTGAGAAGACAGACCTGACTTGAGAAGACAGACCCGTCTTGAGAAGACAGACCCGACTTGAGAAGACAGACCTGACTTGAGAAGACAGACCTGACTTGAGAAGACAGACCTGACTTGAGAAGACAGACCTGACTTGAGAAGACAGACCCGACTTGAGAAGACAGACCTGACTTGAGAAGACAGACCTGACTTGAGAAGACAGACTTGACTTGAGAAAACAGACATGACTTGCGAAGACGGTTATCGGATGGGATAAAGAATCCAGATTGCCCACGATGGGCGGCATGCACATGATTCTGATGACTAATCAAATAGCTGTTTCTGCATCTCAGGTACAATCAGGCGGTACTTAATTATGGTAGTCAGTGTTACAGCTGTTTATGTCTATTATAGCTTCTAATTTACAGGCTATTCAGTAAGTGTCCATATATAGGAACACTTTTTTTAAAAATGAGAACCATTTGTATATATATATGATCTACATGACTACCATTATTGTGGAAACAATCTTCCAAGTGAGTCCTCAGGTGCTAAAGAACATGTAATCATACACAGCTGGAGTTCGAGGACAATGAAGACGAGGAGATGTGATAACATTCCATAGACACAGCGAGGTGTGAGCGGGAACGACAAGGGGAAACATATACACACAGCGAGGACAGGGAAGACAAGGGGAAACATACACACACAGCGAGGACACGGAAGACAAGGGGAAACATATACACACAGCGAGGACACGGAAGACAAGGGGAAACATACACACATGGTGAGGACACGGAAGACAAAGGGAAACATACACACATGGTGAGGACACGGAAGACAAGGGGACACATACACACATGGTGAGGACACGGAAGACAAAGGCAAACATACACACATTGCTGAGGTCACGGAAGACAAGAGGAAACATAATACACACAGCGAGGACAGGGAAGACAAGAGGACATATACACGGAAGACAAGACAAACAGGAAACATATACACACATGGTGAGGTCACGGAAGACAAGAGGAAACATACACACATTGTGAGGTCACGGAAGACAAAGGGAAACATACACACATGGTGAGGACACGGAAGACAAGGGGAAACATACACACACAGCGAGGACACGGAAGACAAGGGGAAACATACACACAGCGAGTAGGTCACGCACACAGAAGGAAACATGAAACAAAGGTGAGACACAACACGGGGAAGACCCGGGGAGCAAAGAATACACACAATTTTGATAATCACACAGAAGGACAAAAGAAAACATACAACATGGTGTGGACACGGAAGACAAGCAGGATTTTCTAAATAGCAAAAAAACCAATAATATCGGCTTTTAAAACAAAGGGGAAATATAGAAATATACCTTGTGTTTCGTGACTGGCTTGACCGATGAACATACATGAAAGGACACAGCAAGAAGAACACAGTCGCGATAGGCTCCTGAATGATAGACCATCTCACAGCCAATGATACTTTCTTCTATCCGTCAGCGGAAATCAAAAGTCTAAATTCCAGTTGTGTGATTTGAGAAGTGCTAGAGTGAGTGAATGAGCCGCCGCCAGCTGTGCTCCGTCGGGAACATAGTCCCAGTCACGGTCGAAATGTTCTCACTGACAGCTTCAGTGTGTTTGTTATAGGGTTACATTCATTACAGACGTGAGCGACATTTCTGGAATCTGAAGGAGGGGGGGGGGTGATGAAATTGAACTCCGCAGCGGACTGAGCTGAGATACCCTTGAACCTCCGAACATTGTTCCCAGTCACGGTCGAAATGTTCTTACTCAGCTTCACCTGGTTTTGCTATCAGCAGTTACATTAGTAAGACGTGATCGACATTTCTGGAATCATGAACTGGTGGCCCTGACCTTGACTGGCTTGACAACCTGAACTCTGATGAGGACCTGAATTCGCTTAGTAACATAGTGCCTAACAGTGCAGCAACAACATAGTGTCTAACAGTGTGCCTAACATCTTGCCTAACATAGTGTCTAACATCATGCCTAACATAGTGCCTAACTCAGCCTAATGATTTAAACAATGTGAATAAAACAGCTACAGCGGTCAAAACAACTTGGTAACATCCACAAACTCAATGGTAAATATTCACGCCAGCCTCGCCAGAAACGTCAATAAACAATCCAAAGTGTTGATCACAATCTTCATCAAGCAACCACAGACAGGACACGCCAGTAACACAGTAGAAATATCAAAGTTTTCTATGTCTAGCAACACAACACGTATGTCATTGCACGGCCCATGTGTTGTACTTCTTCGGTAGTTAGTCTTCCTTCGTCTTATGTAAGCAATCGTAGGGTTTGGTACACGTAAGTTAGTAAACGTCAGCTGGTAAACGGAAAGGCACATATACAAAGCCAGTGATGGAGAGTGTCTTTGGCAGAAGGTGTCACTGAGGGGACACCGGTCATCCTAACAACTTGGAATAATTCATGTGTAAATTTCGGCTCCAACAATACATGTGCACCCGTTTATAAAGATGACGAACCTGGAACAAGGGTTCCCTGAGAGGTCATTTTCATGTCTGGACTTTGTCCGTGTGCAGATGGAGTATCTGAGAAAAAAACAACTTGCTGCTGATAGGATTGCTGGTTGTGGAGTGGCCACTTGTGGGACTGGAACAGCTGTCTTCAGCTGAGAAACTAGCCACGCTACCTGGTCGAATGGAGGACAAGTCAGAGCTGGTCTCATCGTCATGCATGGATGGGAATATCTCCAAACCCAAGATATCGCGAAGGTTAGCGATGTAGTTCAGTGCGTGTTTCAGAATCGTGAATTTTGTGATTTTGTTCTTGCCGTCATCTCGTTGGATTGTTGGCAAGGAAGACCTCAGTGTGTCGAAGGCATCATTGATCTCCTTCATCCTGTCTCTTTCCCGAGCGTTGGCCGTCCGACGCCGGTACTTGCTCAGTGGTACCGGTTTGCTCTTGTCCTTGGGTTGCCTGGGTTGCTGCTGTCGTCGCTCTGTTTCCACTCTCTTCACCAGAGAACTGGTTCGAAAGTTATAGTTTTCTGGATTGCGAGATGTCCTCGAAGATCGTCGAAGGGATTGATTTGCCCCAGAGTTGTCGACAGACTCGGGGTTTTCACTCGAAAGTGCACCTCCCAAAGCCCCGTCGACAGTGCTGCCTGAAGTGCTCCCCATCTTCCCGTCTGCGGACTCAAACCCACTGTCTTCCTGTGGGACATCGTCACTAGCATCCTGCGAACTTCTATCCGGTGGAATAGAATGTTGTTCTTGTACACTTTGTGTCGGTAACTTCCGTTTCTTCGGCTTCGACGGGACCTTTGTTTCTGTTAACTCTCTAGTTTTCCTTTTCTTTGCCTTTGTTGTTTTGGCGTAACCTTTGCTTCGTCGTTTCCGTTTTTGTTTTGGTCTTGAGGACAGAACTTCAGGGGAAGCGTTTCCGGGGCTGACTGTTGTGTTCTGTAAGTAGAGAGATGATTGCTGAGGTTCGTGTGTTGGCGGAAATACGTCATATACAGGAATGTTTTGACACAGCAGGTCCAACTGACAACTGCTAGTCTCTAAATGGGTTTCTAATGAAGGAGGTAGAAGACTTCTGCTGCCTTCCGTGTTGCAGACTGGTATGGTGGCTTTGTGCTCCTTATTGAGGCTGTCACTGTACATGTTGATGTGACCATGAACATTGTTTACAAACACATTATTTGAGCAAATATTGTCCTTGAATGAGGTAGGGCGGGAATCGCTGACCATGGGGCGGGAATCGCTGACCATGGGGCGGGAATCGCTGACCACTGGGTGGTCAATGTAAGAAATTTGCGACGAGACGGGATGTAGCTCACCGGCAGATGGTTTCATGTGGGCCAAGTTGTCCGAGAGACACGAGTCCAGCAGGCTTTGACTGGTCATCTGCGCCATGTCTAGAGCTCGAGAAAGATCCCCGTAGCCGCACGGACTGACCGAGAAACTGTCCGGCGAGTCCAGCACACTGGACGACTCAAAGGCATTGAGCAATGACGGGATATCAGCATCGTTGAAGCATGAGTCCTCACCGATGTATCCGTTAGCTACCAGAACCCTGGCAAACTCCTCGAGGCAGCAGTCCACCTCCGTGGTGCTGGAGAACATGTCTGCTGAAGCACTTCAAATGTACACACTGAACGCTTCAACTTCACCGTCGATTTAAACTGCACAAAGCATAATGTTCCTGCCTGGGTCTCACACTCTGGCGATGGGTCAGGGATTCGAATAGTCTTTTTACATAATAATCCAGTCTGAACATGCAACTCGGCTCGAAACCACACAGCCTGGTGCTGTAACACAATTCTAGCTTTTTCCACCAGCACATTTCTGCTTTATAAAGATGAACATTTTGCTGATGTTCATAATTGATGTCAAACGATTGGATAGAAAGCAACAAACGAAATCTCTGCTATGTCAAATATTCATACAGGATTCTTATTGAAAGCTCCGTCAGCGGAATGTAGTCCCACTTGGGCGCGCGCTTGATTCAAACAACAGGGTCCCCTCTCGAATATTTTTTACCTCAAGGCTCGTGGAAGACGTAGGTGTCTCGCCGCACGAGCCACACTTGAATAGGCCAGTGACAAGAGACATGGACCAATGAACGCATCCGCTGTCTGCCTGTCACCGCCTACTGTAGGCAGTCGCTGTCATCGCCCAGAACTTTCCAAACCTACCTGTTCTGTCTACTCTACTCCCCGAGGTATTCACAAACATTCTTCACCCACACTGCACCCAAGTGTTGGCTGTATAGGTCATCCTGGAGCCCTAGTCGCCGTCGACTTCTGGCTCAAGAACCTGCTCAACCCCGTTCATAAACCAAATGTGTCAGTTCTTTTGCGCTCGCTCTTCAAAGGGTGGTTTCCCCATGTGGTTTCCCCATGTGGTTTCCAGGGCCCCATTTTGGGGAAACAAGAGTAGACCTACTGTGTACCCAACAGAGCATGTCGTAAGAGTCGACTAACTGGGAGCTTTCCTCGAAGCCAGAATGCATCTGCCTGATAGGCAAGGGACCAACAAATGAGTCTGATTTATAAAAACAAATGCCCATGCATTACCCAGGTTCTAAAAAAGGGCTAGAGTTCAGAGATGGACGAGAGAAGATAACAAAAGAAAGAAGAAGAAGAAGAAAAGAAAAAGAAGAAGAAGAAGAAGAAGAAGAAGAAGAAGACGAAGAAGAAGAAGAAGAAGAAGAAGGAAGAGAAGGAAGAAGAAGAGAAGAAGAAGAAGTGAAGAAGAAGAAGAAGAAGAAGAAGAAGAAGAAGAGAAGAAGAAGAAGAAGAAGAATTCCGTCGAAGTTTAGAAGAAGAAGAAGAAAGGAAGAAGAAGAAGAAGAAGAATAGAAAAGAAGAAGAAGAAGAAGAAGAGGAAGAAGAAGAAGAAGAAGAAGAAGAAGAAGACGAAGAAGGAAGAAGAAGAAGAAGAAGAAAGAAGAAAAGAAGAAGAAGAAGAGAAGAAGAAGAGGAGAAGAAGAAGAAGAAGAAGAAGAAAGAAGAAGAAGTAGAAAGAAGAAGCAGAAGAAGAAGAAAGAAGAAAAGAATAAGAAGAAGAAGAAGAAGAGAAGAAGAAAAAAGAAGAAGAAGAAGAAAGCAGAAGAAGAAGAAGAAGAAAGAAGAAGAAGAAGAAGAAGAAGAAGAAGAGAAGAAAGAAGAAGAAGAAAGAAGGTAAGAAGAAAGAAGAAGAAGAAGAGAAGAAAGAAGAAAAAGAAGAAAAAAAGACAGAAAAGAAGAAGAGAAAAGAAGAAGAAGAGAAGAAGAAGAAGAAGAAGAAGAAGAAGAAGAAGAAGAAGAGAAGAGAAGAAGGAAGAAGAAGAAGAAGATGAAGAAGAAGAAGAAGAATAAGAATAAGAAGGAAGAAAAGGAGGAAAAGAGGAAGAAAAAAGAAGAAGAAGAAGAAGAAGAAGAAGAAGAAGAAGAAAAGAAGAAGAAGAAGAAGAAGAAGGAAGAAAAAGAAAGAATAAGAAGAATAAGAAGAAGAAGAAAGAAGAAGAAAGAAGAAGAAGAAGAAGAAGAATGAACGAAGAAGAAGAGAAGAAGAAGAAGAAGAAGGAAGAAGAAGAAGAAAGAAGAAGAAGAAGAAGAAGAAGAAGAAGAAGAAGAAGAGAAGAAGAAGAAGAAGAAGAAGAAGACAGAAGAGAAGAAGAAGAAGAAGAAGAAGAAGCCGAAGAAGAAGAAGAAGAAGAAGAAGAAGAAGAAGAAGAAGAAGAAGAAGAAGAAACGAAAGAAAGAAGAAGAAGAAGAAGAAGAAGAAAGAAGAAAGGAAGAAGAAAGAAAGAAGAAGAAGAAGAGAAGAAGAAGAGAGAAGAAGAAGAAGAAGAAGAAGAAGAAAAAAAAAGAAGACAAAGAAGAAGAAGAAAGAAGAAGACAAGAAGAAGAAGAAGAAAGAAGAAGAACGAAGAAGAAGAAGAAGAAGAAGAAGAAGAAGAAGAGAAGAGAAGAAGAAGAAGAAGAAGAAGAAGAAGAAGAAGAAAGAAGAAGAAGAAGAAGAAGAAGAAGAAGAAGAAGAAGAAGAGAAGAAGAGAGAAGAAGAAGAAGAAGAAAGAAGAAGAAGAAGAAGAAGAAGTACGAAAGAAGAAGCCAGAAGAAAGAAGAATAAGAAGAAGAAGAAAAGAAGAAGAAGAAGAAGAAGAAGAAGAAGAAGAAGAAGAAAAGAAGAAGAAGAAGAAGAAGAAGAAGAAGAAGAAAGAAGAAGAAGAAGAAGAGAAAAGAAGAAGAAGAAGAAGAAGAAGAAGAAGAAGAAGAAGAAGAAGAAGAAAAGAAAGAAGAAGAAGAAGAAGAAGAAGAAGAAGAAGAAGAGAAGAAGAAGAAGAGAAGAAGAGAGAAGAAGAAGAAGAAGAAAGAGAGAAGAAGAAGAAGAAGAAAGAAGAAGAAGAAGAAAGAAGAAGAAGAAGAAGAAGAGAAGAAGAAGAAGAAGAAGAAGAAAGAAGAAGAAGAAGAAGAAGAGAAGAAGAAGAAGAAGAAGAAGAAGAATAAGAAGAAGAAGAAGAAGAAGAAGAAGAAGAAGAAGAAGAGAAGAAGAAGAAGAAGAAAGAAGAAGAAGAAGAAGAAGAAGAAGAAGAAGAAGAAGAAGAAGAAGAAGAGAAGAAGAAGAAGAAGAAGAAGAAGAAGAGAGAAGAAGAAGAAGAGAGAAGAAGAAGAAGAAGAAGAAGAAAAAGAAGAAGAAGAAGAAGAGGAAGAAGAAGAAGAAGAAGAAGAAGAAGAAGGAAGAAGAAGAAGAAGAAGAAGAAGAAGAAGAAGAAGAAGAAGAAAAGGGCGGTTGAAAAGTTATAGCATGGTGCTACTGCTACGCAACAAATCAGATTTCAGCAAACATTTAATTAGTCGCTTTTTACGACATGGTTGTTTGTCGAACAGTGGATCTATAGCCCTCCCCTCGCCTGCCATTATCCACACACCCATGGGACTCTAAAACCAATACGGAGAATCCAAGAAGTAAGAGTAGAGGTTCAGAGCACGGATTAAGAAAGACACCATTGTGAGACCCACCCATGCGGCAGCAGTAGTCGTTTGAATGACACCATGAAGACAAATACGTCATATTTGCCGTCGTCTGATTCCATCGAAGCAGTCAATTACATGGCTCTGCTCCCTCTGAACAGATCATAGACCTTGGTGTTCTGGCTCATCTCTACCCAAGAGTATCATCAACTCGCCTTTCTTCAACCACCCAGCACCTGGTGGTTCGGTCTGTCTGTGTCATGTCTTCAACCACCCAGCACCTGGTGGTTCGATCTGTCTGTGCCATGTCTTCAACCAGCCAGCACCTGGTGGTTCGGTCTGTCTGTGTCATGTCTTCAACCAGCCAGCACCTGGTGGTTCGGTCTGTCTGTGCCATGTCTTCAACCACCCAGCACCTGGTGGTTCGGTCTGTCTGTGTCATGTCTTCAACCACCCAGCACCTGGTGGTTCGATCTGTCTGTGCCATGTCTTCAACCAGCCAGCACCTCGTGGTTCAGTCTGTCTGTGTCATGTCTTCAACCACCCAGCACCTCGTGGTTCAGTCTGTCTGTGTCATGTCTTCAACCAGCCAGCACCTCGTGGTTCGGTCTGTCTGTGCCATGTCTTCAACCACCCAGCACCTGGTGGTTCTGTCTGTCTGTGTCATGTCTTCAACCAGCCAGTACCTCCTGGCTCAATCTGTCTGTGTCATTTCTTCAACCGGCCAACATCTCGCGGCTCAGTCTGTCTGTGTCATGTCTTCAACCATCCAGCACCTTGTGGCTTAGTCTGTGTGTGTCATGTCTTCAACCGGCCAACATCTCGTGGCTCAGTCTGTCTGTGTCATGTTTTCAACCATCCAGCACCTCGTGGCTTAGTCTGTGTGTGTCATGTCTTCAACCGGCCAACATCTCGTGGCTCAGTCTGTCTGTGTCATATCTTCAACCATCCAGCACCTCGTGGCTTAGTCTGTGTGTGTCATGTCTTCAACCACTCAGCACCTCGTGGTTCAGTCTGTCTGTGTGCCCTTTATGTCCCTACTTCTCAGGTAACAGACGGCGGCCATTTCCTTGTTGTCGACATGGTGTGAAAGGTGAAATAACTGCTGCTTTGCTTGGGAATGAAAATAACAGAAATCGTCACCTTTAACCAGCATTCCTGAAGGGGAACTTTCGATTATAATTGTGACAAGGTTATGTGTTGGAATTAAAAGGCTGTGCATGCACGCCACAAAGAGCCCTTTGACCTTTATACATGCATCATATACACAGCTGCAGACAGACAGACAGACAGCAGACAGACAGACAACAGACAGACAGACAGACAGACAGACAGACAGACAGACAGACTGACGTATAGTACAACAGATTTCCCAGACAGACAGACGACAGACAGACAGACTGACAGTAGACAGACAGACAGACAGACAGACAGACAGACAGCACTGAAGGACTGTCATCAGACGGATCGAAATATGAACACGGACGCTTGACAGATGCACGACCCTGGACAGACAGCTGTAGTGCTTTATAGAGACCGACGGACATACACACATGAACAAGTAGATAGACAGACCGACAGACAGACAGACGAACAGACGGACAGACAAATGACGGACGGACGGACAGACGGATGGATAGATAGACGGACAGACGGATGAATAGATAC